GGACGATTCCTTGTGAATAGATGGAATGTCAAAAATCGCTTTGATGTGACTCTGAATTATAATTTTATTATTTTCATACCTATCGCATGAAAGACTACATGCTCTGTCATAATTAAGTTCAGACACTTCTAATAATTGCAAAATGTTTACTGCCTCGCCCTTTAAACAAGATTTAAAGTACCAAAATTTTTCAATTTTTCTTGAGGTACCTACTGTTTCTATGAATTAAAGATTTATACGTATCAGAAAATTGCAACCATTGGTAATACACCCCTGAAAATTCGGGTAATTTTATTTTAGGTAAATTCATGTCAATATTGCTACTTACCATCCTTGGTGAATGTGTGGGAGATGTACTTGGTTGGCTTTGTGAGAAGTATTTGTCAATTAATGCCTTAGCCATTCCTGTGTTGTCAAAAAAGATGTCTGTATGATCAACATCTACATCATATAATTCTAGGTCACCTTGAACACCTATCAATTCTGCCCATAATGTTTGTATCCTCTCCAATCTGCTCTGAAGGTTATAAATTTTGTTATTATCTGAAAATGAGCCTACAAAATCTATGAACCTATTTAATTCTTCAAAAATCGTTATTCTGGCAATTTTAGCAACTCTTCATTATGTTCCTTAGTATTTGACATGTTTGATTAACTGTCAATGATCAACAGATAAACTGTATGCTTTAATATAAAAAAGACTAATATTTTGGAATTCAAATGTTCTCTGGGCGAGGTAAGATTAGATAATATTCCCCTAGAACAAAAAACAACTAATAAATTCTTGGGATTATACATTGATACATGACTAAAGTTCAACACACATATTGAACAACTCAATAAAAAATTAGCAGAGAGCTGTTACATAATCAGATCTCTTGCTCAGGAGCTGGGAAAGCAGGCTGCTAAAGCGGCGTACCTACTTCTCTTTTATGGAGTCTCATAGGCGATTCCACCCAGAAATCGGGTCACTCAGTCTTTGTTCTCCAGAAGCGGGCCGTGCGCTGTCTCTGTAAGAAAAGTTGTAGAGAATCATGTAGACAACTCTTTGTGCAGGAGGAAATACTAACAGTACCATCGTTATTCATCTTAGAATCAGTGTGCCTAATCTTTAGAAACTATTCTGGGACCACTCAAGAAAGAAACTATGACCTTAGACACAATAATCTTCCGCTTCCAATCCCAAAGTCTTCCTTAACAATAAGTTCGGTGATTTATAAAAGCATCAAATTATTCACTCATTTACCAGGAGAGTTAAAAAAAATACTCAAAGGTATAGAATGTTTCGAAATTCTGTGAAAAGCCTGTTAGTGCCTTCTACAGTATCGCTGAGTATTACGACACTGGATTTTAAATTTAAATCTAAATTTATGAATGTTGCTATTGTTATTGTTATTTGCATTTTCTATTTTTATGTTTAATATTTTATATTTCGTATTTTGTATTTTATGTTTTATACTTTGTATTTCATGGTTATGTTTTTTATACATTACATGTTAATGGCTACATGTCCGCAGCATCCATAGTGGTGATTGGATAAAGATTTTGTGCATTTAGTTTATTTTTGTCATTTTATTTTTGTTTTTTATTCTTTTATAATATTATAACATGTAGTGTATTCTAGAATTAAGAAATTGCTTTGTCAGTGAGATAACATATTTCTGGACAATAAAGCTTATTTTGATTTGATTTGAACCTTGTCAAAACCAATAAATGCGATATGTATTGAATTTTATGAAAATGTGGAATTTCAACGACAGATGAAGCAACCTAGCTAATTGTCTTGTGTTTCCAATTATTAAAGATGGATGATAAAATAATACAAGAAATGATGATAATGATTGATTAAGTATACCATCAGCTCTTGGACTTAAAGGTAAATTCCTCTCCTTGTTTACGCGTCTTCTTGTTAAAGCACTCTGTTCCAATGGCTGATGGTGGATGAACGATTTAACGTTGATTTTGAAACTTGGAACTTTTTCCAATCCCAATTTCTTGCTCGTTCTTTCGCTTCTAGAGCTAATAAACCCTAGGAACGATACTCAAAGGACCTACTTGAATGAAAATCTTGAATATCTCGGCTGGATTGTTTGTGTATCCGGCTCGAAGGACCATGTAGGTATTTCCCTTTGTACATGGAAAAAACCCTTTTGTAGATCGCTGATTCTTGAATAATAATGATGTCTTGTTTATGTTGAAATTGATTTAATGCCAAGATATTCACTAATATATGGAGCTGAGGTGTGGAGAGATTACAATAATCGTGATGATTTTAAAAACTGAATAAATTACAATTGTAACAAATAAAAAATAAATTATTGGCTAAAGACAATTGGCAAAGCCGCCCGTCCTTTTATGCTTGGTTTTGGAAATTAAAAAAAAAAAAGACTAACTAGTACACTGATTTGACCGAGCACCTGACCGGTCTAGTTCGGTTGCCGTTTGTCTATCATAAATTACCTATAAGTATGAAAATAAATTAAAATAAACTGAAACTAAAAACGGAAGTATGTGATTTGAAAATAAAAATCACACGAGTCTTAACAGTGCATGCAGGTATCTGTCTGTGTGTGTGGGTTTTCGGTAGACTGTGTGGCTTAGAAGGCGATTTCTTGGTTTTTCTCCTTTTCCATGGTAAATTGTATGCTAGGATGTTGCGCGTTCAGGTGACCTAGGAACTAGTTAAGCTTCTCTTCCCCGTGACTCCAAACCACAAAGGTATCATCTACATATCGAAGCCATATCGTTGGTCTGTTATCAAAAGATTCGATAGTTAGTTAGTGAGACATGTCAGGAAAGCTCAACTATGTCATTGGGGAAGTTACTTGATATCAAGTCAAGAGATTCCGTTAATAGCACTTTTGTGAATAGAGACACGACATCAAAGCTGACCAGGATATCTTTAGGTTGGAGAATAATATCCTTAATTTTCTGGACGAAGTGAGTGGAGTCCTTGACGTAAGAGCTAGTTTTTTCTACATGCGGTTGAAGAAGCGATGCAAGATGTTTCGCTAGGTTGTACGTTGGTGCTCCAGGTGCACTCACTATGGTTCTGAGCGGGTCTTCAGATTTGTAAATTTTGGGTAGGCCGTAGAGTTGTGGTAGAACCGCTTACATTTTTATGATGCCTTCCACATTCAGAAACCTGAGGTCCCGCTAAAACCCATAGTGAGTGCACCTGGAGCACAAACGTACAACCTAGCGAAATATCTTATATTGCTTTTTCAACCGCATGTAGGAAAAACTAGCTCTTACGTCAAGGACTCCACTCACTTCGTCCAGAAAATTGGGGATATTATTCTCCAAGCTAAGGATATCCTGGCCAGCTTTGATGTCGTGTCTCTATTCACAAAAATGCCATTGACGGAATCTCTTGACTTGATATCAAGTACCTTCCCAATGACATAGTTGAGCTTTTCTGGACAAGTTTCAGTGGTAGTTACTTCCTGTGGAACGGCGAATCTAACGAGCAAACGGACGGTGTAGCTATGGAAAGTCCGCTCAGCCCGGTTATAGCCAACTTCTTCATGAAGGATTTCGAGAAGAAAGCTGTCGAAACTTTTGACGACAAACAAACGGTATGGCTTCGAAATGTAGATGATACTTTTATGGTTTGGAGTCACAGGGAAGATAAGCCTAACCAGGTCCTAGGCCACCTGAACGCACAACATCCTAGCATACAACTAACCATGGATAAGGAGAAAAACCAAGAAATCCCCTTCTTAGATGTACTCATCTCGAGGAAAACTAAGCCACACAGTGTACCGAAAACCCACACACACACAGACAGGTATCTGCATGCACTCTGAAACCATCATCCAAGGCAAAAACGTGGAATTATAACAACGTTAACAGAACGTCCTCGGAACATCTGGGAGCCACAACATCTCAAGCAAGATTGCTGGATCACCTCAAGTCGGCCTTTCTATCAAATTGATACAATGCATCTGAAATCGACAGGGCCATGCGACCCAAACGGCCATACGACAAAACGTGGATGAGCAACCAGTGGTGGCTAATGCATATCTATATCTGCCTTTCATTTCTCGGGTGACAGACAGGATAGGGAAAGTCTTGAAGAAACACAACATAAAAACGAACTTCAAGCGAACAAGGAAAATACAGCAATCAATCAGATCAACCAAGGATGAGAGGAACCCACTGTCAAGTGCTGGAGTCTATCGTATACCATGCACATGTGGTAAGGTATACATAGGAATAATAAAAAGACCATGGGAACTAAGATCAACGAACACAAAAGAAACTGCAGACTAGGACAATCGGCAAAAATCGGCAGTAGCGGAACATGCGCTTAGTGAAGGGAATCACGAAATACTATTTGGTGAGGTCAAGCTTCTTGCACCGACTTCCGGATACCAGAATCGTCTTGTACGTGAAGCTATTGAAATCCACAAACATACGGAGAACTTCAACAGGAAAGAAGAAACACTAAAGCTCAACCAAATCTGGAACCCGATCCTCAAAAACACAAAAAAGATCCCATCGAGTACAGAGAAAGTTCAGATTAGCCACGTGCTGCGAAGCCTAGCCCCTCTCCCACCACAACCACTCATACATAAATACAACTTGCGGTCGGGAACGCGTTAGTCTGCTACTAGCATCGGACATGGAAGCACCTCTGAAGATGCTAGCCACGCGTGCTAGCCAAACTTCAGGAAGAAATTCCAACTTACAACGGCCATTAAGCCCGAATGAAAACACTTTTTTCAATAAACCTGGGCCGCAAAAGCCTCACAAGCTTTATAATTTAGTTTTCTATTTTTGAATTTTCTGAGGAATTATGTAGTTTCTAGCACGTGGATCTGCGAGTGCAAAGTTTTATGTCCTGTTTGCAATCTTTGATTGGATGTTTATTGAACTGGCGTTCTCTCGCCACTTCGACTTGCACACTTGAATGCTTGTACTGTGTCTTTTCTTTCAGGAAAATATTCTGATTATCTTTGTCAAGAGAATTCATAATTTCCTTAATATTTTCGCAGGCAAAGTTGAAATTATCACAGGTGTAGGCATAGCCTCAAGCACATCAAGCTGGGGCAACACGCCCCGACCGATCACCACAGCAGGAAGATTTGGTGCTTTCTTAGCCAGTCCCAGCAATCACGCTTTGTTCATCATCAACGGCCAATCGAGAACGGTTAATTGTGAAATAAGCGCCGTAGCTAAACCTTCGCACATAGTATGGATTACACAGAAGTACCATTAGATTTAGAATTTTCATTTGTATATAAACAACAACAAAAATAATGGATGTTTCTTTGTGCTGCCCTTATTACTGTATAATATCCTTAAATAAATATTGTGCATATCAACTAACTCAATACATCATAGCGTAATGCATAAAAAAAACACAAAATGCCCAATTTATCTTAGTGAAAATATTATTGTATATAATAATAATACCATCAACCATACCTATAAATTAATCTAGCTTAAAAAAATGTACATCCAATTTATGTAAGATATGTTTTGCTGAACCTGCCTGTTGATAGAATGAAAATACATAAGTTTAGGCTGGTATCACTTCTAAAGTTCTGGAACAATTTTCTAAATTTCGATTCATTGTTTGTCTACAGAACTTGTGTATATATACACTAAAAGAAGCTTTTGCCAAGTAAGACATGATATTTTTGTGAAAGACTAAAAGATAATAGCATTTTTTATTAATTGTTAATATCCTTAGGATTGAAATTGTTGTTATCAATAACAAAACTTATACAATTTTTTTGAAGCAAAAACAAAAAGACATAAAGACTTAAATTAGAAAATAGCTAATAAGATTTTATGTAACTTTTGCTTATTAAAGAAATGTAATTCCTAGATAATAGTTATACACAATAACCTTGCTGTCTGTTTTTCGTTCCTATATATTTTTCATGTTGTTGCCTCATATAATTTAATTTTTTTACTACAAGTATTATATGACATAGAAATTATTTTTATTCCATCACACTTTTAGTTTATAATAATCTATTTAATGTAATAAGTATTATATTTTGCTGGTGATGGATTAAATAAATAATAAATAATAATTTAGGATAGAAGTAATATATATTTTTTTTTTGGTAATTGGGTTACACAGATTGAACTTATGTCATATGGAAAATATGACACACAAACTCTTTGGTTTAACGGCGGGATATAGAAACATAGATCACGTTATAATAGCTGTTGACTTGAGTTCTGTTGGTTTTCTTAATTCACTTGATTTAAAATACTTTTTTCTCTTGGTAAATATGCCAATTTAATTTTCTCTTTGTGATATCCCAACTGGGAAGACAACAAGTAAGGGCGGGTATTATAAAACTGCTATGACAGTTAACTTGAAGTTAACTTTTTGAATTACATGTAATTCTAGAAGTTAACTTTAAGTTAACTTTCAAAGTAGTTTTATAAAACCCGCCCTAAGTAAGGTTTTTTTCCCTTTGTCAAAATTTCCCCAAATGCCAGAGAGCATCGATTAGAATTCTGGATTACAATAAAGTTAATGGCAGATTTCGACTGTCAAGGCATTTTTTTAAAATAAAGTTCTGTCTTATGTGAAGAGTAGCAGTACTTTCTAAAATAGAACGCTGTTCTGGTATTGCTGCTTTTTTTTCACCCTTTCGAGCCCATGCTCTGCTCTGAAGCTCATTGTGGCTTATTGTAGATCATTTGCATGGACTCTACTCCTTCCCATTCATACGAGAATCTTATCATGCATCCCCCACCCTAAGATGGTTCGATTTGCAATCCATGGTTGGCCATTCAGACTCCACCAACATCACGCAAGCCTGAGAAAGTCCTTATACATCCTTTCGCCAAGCCAACGAGCCGGTTGAACACCACAAACAACCATGTCCTAGCCGGGATTCGAACCAGTGACCCGCAGCATGCGAAGCAGGTACACCAACCACTACACTGCCCAGTTTGGAAGACTGTGTTTTCGATAGTTTCTGTACTAATTTCAATTATCTTGATGAGGTGCTGGTGAAAATCAAATTTGAATTTTCTGCTATTCACTACAAGAAACAGAAATGTTTGATTGTTTGTATTAAGAGATCTCCAAATTGTAATGCATACATGTTTCTAGAACGACTTGAATTTTTACTGTAAATATACGATTATACTTGCCAGTAACCTTAACATTGACTTTGATGACACAGATAATAGATCTACCACCAATTTGTCAAATTTGTTTAAGTGCTTTAATCTCAGTATGCATGTGCATGACTCTACGCGCATTACTAAGATTTCATCCACAACAATAGACCACATTGCCTCGAACTTGGATGGGAACGACATGACTTATACCGTGTGTGATCCGGACCTTTCCGATCATAAAGCTATTTCAGGTACCTATCCGATAAATTGAAATAGTAACAATGACTGCAAAGTTGAGAAAAATTTGGAGCAACATGAATTTTCAAAAATTCCGACAGTCTTGCGAGCCACTTGATTGGGATTCAGTTTTCTGGATCCTTCTCTTCTTCGACGCCTAAAAGCAAAGCGCAATGATCGGAAAACATGGCTCACACTTGGAATACGTACTTTGGCCTGCAATCTAAGATTGCTTATTAACCTCAGGAAGGCTTACTCTGGTAACACTTTCCTGCCATGTTCTATACAAAAAAACGTTATTCGAAAGGCCAAAGAGCTGTTTTACTTGTAACGCCCGCTATTTTCTAATAATGAGCAAAAAGAATCATGGGCGTTATTATTATTCCTCAGCTGGTATTAATTTGACCGAAAACTTACCTCCTGGTCCTAAAAACAATCAGTTCCATGAAAAATAAAAGGGCTGCAACAGATGATGGTATTTCATTGAAGGTTCTGGAGAAAGACATCCCAAGAGTCAGGGCGAGTTCCCAGTTAGGGTTTATTTGGCGGTATATCTCGGGCGCCACCCTCAGGATTAAAGTGGTTGAGGGCCCACGTGCACCAGACAGCTTTGTTATAGTGGAGAAACGGTAATCCAGGGGTCACAAGCGATGCTCAATCAAGAGTCTCCGGTATAAACACCTGAAAAGCCCTTAACTGTTTCCTGAAAAATCACTGAAAAGTTTCAGGTGGTTAGATGCAGAGTTACCTAATTACTCCATAAGCTGGTGAGGTGTAATGAGGCTGACCAGTAGCAGTGGAAATTAGTAGGAACAGGCGATAATGGTAAAAACTCCGGTAACCCAACCAAAAATATGGATCCCGAATAACGGAAGTACCAACCCTCGTGACAGTGAATTTTTTAATTCCGGCATACACTTAAACTTCTGAGAGAAATGCCTGTTTAGGGTACTCAGGTGAAAGACTCTCTTACAGATCACCCGTCCGGGTACTCGGGCAAGGTTCGGCAATAGAGGTTGCCCGTTCAGGTTACTCGGTCAAGGGATGTTTAAATATATGGTAACTTCGCAGCGTGACAACACCAGCCTTCGGAGGGAAATGCCTGTTCAGGGTACTCAGGCGAAAATCCCTCTTACGGATCACCCGTCCAAGGTACTCGGGTGAGATCCGGTAGAGTTCAACTGCAATAGAAATTGCCCGTCCAAGGTACTCGGGAGAAATCTTTATGGCAGGAAAGCCTGTAGTGTCTATTAACTTTTCCTACTGGTGCGATGCGTGGGACGGTGTAAAGTAAGGTCTAATATTATCGCTACGGCTGGAGACGGCTTACCTCAGGCTGGTCAGTGATGAAAAACTCGCAAGGCTTCTGGAAAGTCGCGTAGTGCTCGGATTCGTACTGATGCTGCTGGTGGTGTCTGGGTCTTGATCGGACTCAAGCGTCGGCTGGTACTGCTTATCATTCGCAATGTTTGCCCTATTTATACTCACAGTACTAGAGAATCGCCGCCCGGTGACGACGCGGGCAGTTGTTTTCTGCTGCTTTGGAATGCGGCTTGGGCCTGTACCTTGTTCCTTAGTGAAGTAAATGTAGCGTTTGCTAGCAAGGTCACGCGCTTAAATATTACTGTACTGAATATTTAATTATTAATATGGAAATAAATTAAAATAATTCGCGGTATAAATGTAACATCTATGTAACTTCGTTACACACTCCCTCTTCTTCAAGAAAAAATAACAAAAATAAACAACTTAACCTATGGGTTATAACACGGAGTATAAAAAAAAATATAATAAAAAAAAAAAAAATTCCTTCGGTGGATGGCTACTGGAATCCGCGGTCTTTCATTCCGGCCTAGTGTCGCCGAGCATAGGGACAGCCGCACTTTGGACAAGGCCTGAGGTGTCAACAGCACTGGGTAGCTATGGATGCCACACGGGTTCGGTGGGGGCCAAGGTTGCGGTAATATTACCAAGGTCTCGGTTCCGCGCAAAGTTTCGGGTTTCCAGGGCAACCACTCGCCTTTCTTGACAGTTGAACTACCGAGATAGTACACCAATTTTTCCGCACCTCGAGCACAATTTCCGAGGATGTTCCTGGCAAGTTTCTCGTGGGTTCCCCGGATACCTACATCGCCAACACAGATCGCCGTGGACGAGTAAATATACGTCAGCATGGTCGGCGGAGATGACCTGAGTGGTATTTGTTTTGGGGGTAGACGCTCCCGGGTTTTTGGAGGCTGCTGCCTCTTTAGTTGGCGGCAATACGAGGGTGCGAGTGGACCTGTCGGACAACTTCGGAATCGGATGATCTCACTGGGCCTGCTTGGTGTCGGAAGTTGGGGCCTGCTCGGTGTCGGGAATTTGGGCCTGTTCGGTGTCGGAAGTTGAAGCCTGCTAGATGTCGGAAGTTGGGGCCTGCTAGGTGTCGAGAGTTGTGGCCTTTTCGGTGTCGGGAGTTGGGGCCTCTTGAAGGGCCTCCTCTAGTTCATCCATGACGATCTGGAGCTCGAGCGTGGGGCTTGCTGAAGGCAATGGGCTCTGAGTCATGATGGTATGCTTCCTAAAAACCAATGACAGAGATATATTGAGAAAGGCACTGCAGTGCGGTTGGTGATTCCCAAAGACAAGAGAGACAGACTTTTGAAAGGTAATTTTTTTATTTCCCAAGAGCAACTAACGAAATTAAAAAAAAAAAAAATCAACATCACAGAAAAAAGAAAAAAAAAAAAAAAAAGGATGTTAATATATATTAATCTTCCGGCTGGATGAGGAAATTTGGCCCGGTAGCGGTGCCGAGCGGGTATGTGGGCTGGTGGGTACTTGGCCAAAGCTCTTTGTAGCACGGCAGGCATCCTTCCACCCTTGTATTTCACGAGGGCTTCCGCAATCTTCTCTCTTATGGAATAGTCCTCCTCCTGGTCTGTTTCCCTTTGCCGAACGGGGACAAAATCTGCGCAAGGAATATAGCCGGACGTCGGAGTAAATATATCAGATTGTCCTCCCAGCAAATCTTCCAGTGATTTGAACAAATCCTGGATCTTTTCAGCGGATCTGGAGTCTGGTTTTGGTTCTAATCCTGACGGTGGTACCAAGGAGTCGGCCGTTATGAACAAGATATTTTCGAGAGCGGAATTGGCAGCAACTGGCACGAGCGGAGCGTAGGTGTATAGGGTTGACTGAGCAGGTTTTCGAGTGACCTGAACAAATCCTGCATCTGCTCACCGGATCCGCGGTCGGTGTCCAAGTCTACCCCTACCGCTGGTACCGAAGGGTCGGCTGTCCTGGAGATGACAGTTGCGGAAGCAGCGGTGGAAGAGATATTCGAGGGAAAAAGGGCTGAGAAGTTTTGAGATGGGTCCACGACCGAAGACTGTCCAGAGGCTGGTGTAGGTGGAATGTACGCTCGGTTGTACATGAGAGGTGCTAGGGGTTGGCTAGCGGTTCCTTGCGTTTGTGTTGCGGAAGTGATGGTGGTAACGGCATTCCTTCTAGAATACACTACTTTTATCGGCTGGGTTGATTGGCGAATGACCGCATCTAATACGACCTCTGGAAGTGCGGGCAACTGTTTTAGCGGTGTTACGGCGAATCTTCTAAATTGAGTGACTAATTGCTGAGCAGCCCGTCTAATTTCCGACTTTTTTGCCGTGGACCTTTTTTGAGCCTTGGGAGGCGAACGTTTTAACCAGGATCAAGTCGGTGAGCGGTTGGATCCCGCGGGGAG